GACTCCGGGACTTGAACAAGGGGCCTTACCCTCTCATTGGCCGAGAGGGACTTCCGGTCATTGGTTGGACCATAACCGGGTTGTTCATTAGAGGAGCAGTAGTGTTTAAGGAGTAAGATGTAACCCAGGGGTAAAATGGTAATTTGACCCAACTTGAGTTACGAACACTCGTGAAGGGTTAACTCGTCATTAATGGTCGTATATCTATGGACACGAAAACATTCTGCAGTGAGAAGAGTGCAACTGCGGGTCTATAGTAGAATGACCCGTAGTTAACGAATCTAGATTAACTCGGTCAATGAGTTTGACCGATTAATCTTGCATCGTTGGAGCATCGGATCTGTAGGTCCATTAGGTCCCCTTGCTAGCTCATAACGGGTAAAACGAGGATCAAATTTCTTGGAAGAATTTGAATTGTTCAAATTACTTAAGGGATTATATGTATATTGATACATTATAATATATATAGTTAATTATAAATTAAAACTATATATTATGAGAGATATTATTTGAATGAGATTCAAATAAAATTAATATGAATGGGATTCATATTAAAACTATAGGTTAAAAATAATGTGCGTAAGATGTACATTAAAATTATAGGTTATACGAGAGAAATGTTTTAGAATATGATTCTAATTTTATAATAAATAATTAATTGTTAATTATTTATGTATATATATATTTATTAATTATTAATTGGATTAATAATTAATTTGATTAATTAATTTTATATATATATTATTATATATATATTATAATTATTATTATATATATATTAATATTAATATTAATAATAATATTATTAATATTAATATTAATAATAATATTATTATTAATAATAATAATATTATTAATAATATTATTATTATTATTATTAATATTAAACTCCCCACGTCACCCTTCTTCTTCTTCAAGAGTTGGGGAATGAGAAAACAGAAGGTTACAGAACAGGAGAAATCCCACAATTCTCTCTCAAAATTCTCTCAAACTCTCCCTCACTTCTATCAACGTGCTACCATAAGCACGATCCCGAGACCCAAGAGGATAGCGAGGAAGATCCGGTGGTGGTGTTCGAGGGGAACTTGCTAAAGAAACGTTCTTCAAATGATTCACATGCCTTCAATTGGTATCAGAGCCAGGTTGTAGTTCTGATTTTTTTTTGGATCAAAATCGTTGAGTTTGGTGGGTGATTTCATACTTTCGAAATATGGGTTTGCGGGTTGGAAAATTTCCGATTTTTGGCACCTAGATAGTGTTTTACTTCGTGATTTGATCATGTAAGGGCCCGGTGTTTTGGGCATTTAGTTTCTGTTTTGTTTTTGTAAGTTCGGGTCACTCGAAAGTCGTTCGTGGCCTCGGATTGG